ATCCCCAGGTGGAGTTCCACACACTCCAGCCAGTCTCTGATGCAGAGAGCAACCCTCCCCTCCACGTCTCCCCTGCCTGTTCTTCCTAACAGGACCTCTTGTCCTGGCCAGGTGGTCTGTAGCAAACTCCTACTACAGTATCCCCTCTCCCTGCCCTCCCTTAAATCCTGACCCATAAGCTCTCGGTCAGCTCCTCATCCATCCCCAGGTGGAGTTCCACACACTCCAGCCAGTCTCTGATGCAGAGAGCAACCCTCCCCTCCACGTCTCCCCTGCCTGTTCTTCCTAAGGAGCCTGTATCCTTACATTCTGACACTCCAGTCATAGGAGCTGGCCTCCAAGTCTCTGTGATGCCAATGAGGTCATAGCCCGTCACACGTGTGCAATCCTCTAGCTCCTCTTGTCTATTTCCCATGCTCCGTGTGTTCACATGGAGGCATTTAAGATAGGCCCACAATGAAGTTGGCTTGCTGATGGGAGCAGCTGGAATTCCTTTGCTTTGCTTGCCAGGTGTTCTCTTGGTGACCTGCGATTCTTCTCCAGACTCTGGGCATCTGTTGGTGACACTAGTGGTTTTGCTCCCTTCCCCTTCAAACCTAGTTTAAAGCCCTCTCAATGAGCCCCACCAGTTCATGGGCAAGTGTAGTGAAAATAGTTGACTGCTGCTCATGATTGATTACTGTGTATATACTTATTCACCTCTGTGAATGGTAACACGACCATGCGGACAATATCATATTGTATGCCAACTGGACGTGGTTCGATTCTCAGTCTCATTTATATCCCAGTATATTCTGGTTTAAGGCTTCCTCCCCTTCTTACCATCCACTGAGTTGTCGAAAAAGGTCTGTAATCAAATACTCTTAAAATAGCAGACACTCTCTTTCTACATACATACTTTCTACAGTGCAAGTCAAAGTCATTCTGGTTTGATATTCAGCCTGCTCCATGACATCCTCTGCAGGACAATGGGGTGGCACAGAAGTCAGCCTCCTTTCTGTAGGCTGAGACCTTTAGTATGCCTGAAGTCCTCAGGTATTGTAAACCTACAGGCCAGGACTACAAGTCTGTCTTGTGGTCCATAAGTTGGCAGTTGTCTTACTTTGTCCCAAGCTTGAGGCTGGTTTCAGGCATGCCAGCACCCCATACAGTGGTATAAAGAAATGTAATGAGAGAAAAATTCTGCCTTACTATGTATTCCTCCTTTTCTAGCACCATATGTAGAAAGACAGAGAGGATAGGATCGGTTCCATTAAAATCATAGTCTGTAAAGAAATAATTGTGCACCATTAGGAAAAAAAAAAAAACACCTTGTTGCTTAAAGCCATCTCTTGAAGTCAGGACTCAAGTGTTGCCTTATTTGGCATTATCAGAGCTGTCTTTGGGTTCCTCTAGCCTCCATCCTGGCACAGAGCAATGTGAAAAGAACAGGTCAGTGCAGCTGACTCCATACAACCCTAAACCATTCCTGTCTCTGAGTAATTAGCAGAGAGATCAGAGCTTCAACACGTTTGCAACTAAAGAGTAAATTATTATTGACCAAAAATAGAGCACTTGAATGCTGTGTGGGCAGGAGGTTACATATAAAGAGCCACAGCTGAAGGAAATCTTATTCTTTGTTACCTCAGCATCTCACGGTAAGTCTCATCTGCTTGATTTATACTGTGACCATGATATCTTCACAGCTCCGCAAAAAGGTGGAATATACAAGGCTATTTTCTTCTCATTCCCCATTTCTAACATTACAGGTGATGTTCTATATGCAGTTTCAAGGCTATACAACCCAAACCACTCCAGTGTGGTGGCACAGGCAGAAGCAAAGAGCCATGCTATGCCATCCCTTAGAAGGGCCTTCTAAAAACTTTGTTACCTCCAAGTCTTATGAAAGGCATGGGAAATCTAACTCTGAATACAGTGGAAATTGATTGGGAAAATATATGTAATGAAGATGATCTTTTCCTAGAAATTACACTTGTTTTCAGCAGATCACAGGAATGTGGGGAGGAACACAAGATTTTCTGTGGGATTTGGCTCTAGCTTAAGAGTTGTAAGTCTCAAGAGTTCAGCTGTTGGAAGAGACTATACAAGGGGTATAGATGTTTGAAAGAGCATATGCTCAAGACAATGGACTGTTTCTGATTTAACCCTCTCTGACCTTTCTTTAACAATTTCACACAGACACTGAAAGCAGATTTCCTCCTGAGGTCACTGAAGGTAAGGAGTTAACAGATAACATGCAGTTTTGCTCACTGATCCTGAAGAATGAGTGAAGCTCACCCAGACAATGGTAAGGGCAGATGGCAAAAGACTGTGTTGTAGAACCAGGTTCACTGAAAAGGATATATGCTATTTTAATCAATATAAACATATTCACAGTTCTTGGTAGGAAATACACCATTTATTGGAAAGAAAAGTGACAGATACTCATGCTTAGCTAATAGAACATGAGAGACAGCAAAAGTGATGACTTTTTGTGGTATAACCTGGGATTCTGGGATTTATAGGCAATTAAAAATCACCAACTGCCATCTGCACAACAGCTGGAAGCTTGAAACTGAGGTGGCATTCAGAGAGGAGGTTCAAATTACAATTCAAGAAGTGTCTAAGCCTATCATGCTTTAAGTTATTTTCCTCTGGGGTAAGGTCTAGGACATTATATGCCGACTTTGGCTTATCACACAGGTCATGAAACCAGAACAAAGTTCAGGTTCAATCTTCTCTCCTGTCTGATAGGCAGATCTGTTCATGTACGGAGTCACCTTCACAGGGAACTTAATATGCAGTATTCCCTTTTAGGTTTTCTGGAGAATGTTAGTGATTGAGTGACTGGGAGAGTTCACCAGATAAACAGAAGTTACCTCCACACACATGCCTTCCATCCTAATACAAAAAATGCTCACTGAAACTGGAGCTGAAAGGGATTGAAGGACAGGTTATTCTCCCAGAGGATGTCTGTTTCCCTGCTCATGAATGCATAAAGATATAAATTTTACACTATTTCCTATCAAAGATGTTCAGTAGTTCAACAGGCTGTGCCCCTTGAGAAATTTTCTGGTAACCTATTGGTATTTTCTGATGCACTACTTAACCTTTTCATGAACACTGTGAAATAACCTTTTCATGAACACTGTGAAATAATTTCTTTCTTTCATGTTGTTTCCCTTGAGTGACTTGGAGGCAGGATCACATAGGCAGAAATGCTGGACTTTTGAAAGTATTATACAGAGAATAATACTTTCAAAATAAGTTAGATGTTTTGGATTCTGTGCTTTGAAGTTCCTGGGTATTAAAGGCTCCAGAGATGCAGGCCCTCAAACTCCTGCAAGGTGCACATCCCATAGCACATTGGTTTTGCTGACAGAGATCAGCAGTTCTGCAACAATGTGTCCAAAGCAGCATTACAAATGCCTTCAGACTAGCTTCATCATTTTCTTGCACATAAAACCGCTACATGTTGACTGTTTCCTGCTGTGGTGCCTTGGAAGTATACACCAGAAGGGGCCTACAAGGAAGCTGGAGGGGGACTTTTTGCAAGGGCCTGTAGTGACCGGACCAGAGGTAACTGGTTTAAATTGAAAGCAGGGGAGATTTAGATTGGATATCAGGAAAAAGGTCTTCACAGGAAGGGTGGTGAAGCACTGGAACAGGTTGCCCAGAGAAGCTGTGGATGCCCCATCCCTGGTAGTATTCAAAGCCAGGTTGGATGAGGGTTTGAGCAACCTGGTCTAGTGGAAGGGGGCCCTGCCCCTGGCCGGGGGGGGGGGACTAGATGAGCTTTAAAGTACCTTCCAACCCGGAGTTGGAACTAGATGGGATTTTAGGTCCCTTCCAACCCAAACCATTCTATGATTCTATGATCCTATATTCAGTTCTGTCTGTTTTAGTACCACAGTGCATCAGGCAAACCATGAAGTAGCAGGAGTTTTGACCTTTGGGACATTTTTTACTAGCCTGTATGTTGTCCTGCCTGGGAAAGAACTTGCTGTTTATGTTAGTGCCTACCTACATTATTTCCACCTGTGTTATTTCCAATGCTCTTGAATTGTCCATAGCACTCTTTCTGACTGTAGCAATCAATAGTATCCATTGTGTTGAAGAATTTTTACAAGGTATTGCTAAAAATGTAATATACATCTGAGCATAAAGCATTTTTTCTGAAGTCTTTGTGCTAGACAAATCCCTCACTGCATGTCAGGTACATATTGGTACATGTTAATTGTTTTTTCATGATTCATAACCAATATTAGTCTATATAATATGTTAAAGCTAAAAGGTACTATGCAATTGAAGCTCTTTGAAATGTTAATCAAGTACTTATTTACTTTTACATAGCATACTTAATAATATGCTATTATTACCTTCATTATACATAGTATTTCTTTATTATATAATTTTGCCACAGATCTAAAAAAATATTTTATATTTGGTTCAAATGATAACAAGTTTGGGATTAGATAGGCGATAACTGGCCCTCACAATATGTTCCAGTGCTTGGTATATCCAGAAACTAGTTGAACTTTCCCTGCTTGGTATCAAAACACAAAAATCAGACGGGTGTCACGAATACCTCCACTTAGAAATTATGCGTGACAACCAATCTGCTTAACTTATGGATCTTACTTGTGTCTAAATTTTTAGATGTCTAATGAAACAATCTATGTGGCTATGTGTAAGTGGCTTTGAGAAGTATGTGGCTGTGCAGCTGTGTGAATAGCAGGTGAAGACAGTGCAGGAGAGGCTTTTGAAGACTTCTAGCTTGATATACTCTCTGCCCTCAATTCTGTCTTCAAATACAATACACCTCTGTCTACAAAAGGAACCTTCTTTATTAGGACTTCTTCAGTGGATACTTAAAATTGAGGCAGAAGATACATACTTGACATTGTTTAGTCCTCTTTTTCCTTTTAGTCATTGAACATGACCATTTTCTAGATAAATATAAATTACAAATGCACAGGCTTTCTGAAACTTTTCTGAATTCCTCCAGAGCAATTCCGGCCATGAGTTCAGATGCAGAGATGGCAATCTTTGGAGAAGCTGCTCCCTATTTACGGAAGCCTGAAAAGGAAAGAATTGAAGCCCAGAATCGCCCATTTGATGCTAAGACAGCCTGTTTTGTAGTGGATGAAAAGCAAATGTATGTGAAAGGTACCATACAGAGTAGAGAAGGTGGCAAAGTCACAGTTAAAACATATGCTGACACAGTAAGTGATAACAAATGTTACTCGTACATGATCATCCAGTTCAGCCACTTTTCTGGCTTAAATTTCTTCTCTTCTTGTTCTCTTCTGTTTTTGTCAGACGATGACTGTAAAGGATGATGAAGTCTTTCCCATGAACCCTCCCAAATTTGACAAAATCGAGGATATGGCCATGATGACCCACCTCCACGAACCCGCTGTGCTGTACAACCTCAAAGAGCGTTATGCAGCCTGGATGATCTACGTAAGTACCAGCACCAGTCTTCCGTTGGGTAGCTAGGAGGAACTGCTCTGCCAGGCTAAGTGGAAGCCAACGTGCTGTCTCCCTTTCTCACAGACCTACTCGGGTCTCTTCTGCGTCACTGTCAACCCCTACAAGTGGGTGGTGCTGGGCTGCCGAGCAAAGATGCGCAAGGAGTCCCCTCCACACATCTTCTCCATCTCTGACAATGCCTATCAGTTCATGCTGACTGGTGAGTCATTTTGTAAAAATGGGAAACATGCAGGGCTGGCTGCTTAGTCAAGGACACTTGACAGTTCAGGCATCTTAAGTGTTGTTCTACTCAGTGCCTGATGTCCACAGCCCCCATAGTTCCCATAGTCCTACAGCATAGCTCAAGATTAGTCTGTCAGTGGCACCTTAATGACCTCAGACAGTGGAGAAATGGCAGTAGCTGGTTATATGGCTTTGTGCCCGCTCTCCTAGTAAGGAATTCAAAGAAACAGTAAAGAGGGAACACAGCAGAGAATCTGATTCCAATTCAACAAAATTTAAGCCAAGGTCTATAGATAAACAAAAAAAAAAAGAGTAAGTGAGCAATCTTATAAAGAACCACCACTTAGATTTTGAGCTGTTCCTTCCCTCTGTGCACAAAATAAATCCACACACAGACTAATGTAGAATTACCTCATTTGATTACAAAGTGATAAATACAGTTACAATATAGTTCTTTCCCTCAAAGTCAGTTAATTATGTCTGAGGAAGAGAAGACCTCCACAAGTCATTTGAACAGATCTTTCTGTGACTTTGTTTTCAGATCGTAACAATCAGTCAATCCTTATCACGTGAGTATGTTTTGGCATGTGTGACAAAGCTGATAGTGAAGTAAAAATGTTTTCTGTTTCCTGTAACAGTATTTTCATTTCAACAGTGGAGAATCCGGTGCAGGGAAGACTGTGAATACAAAGCGTGTCATCCAGTACTTTGCAACAATTGCAGTTACTGGTGAAAAGAAGAAAGACCAACAGCCTGGCAAAATGCAGGTATGCCATTGACTCCCCCTTCTAGTGTTTCCCCAAGACTGTACCTGCAGAGCAGAAACTATTCATATTTTTGGGTTGCAGGACTACCAAAATGCAGAAAGTATAACACAATTGAGGATACAGTCAGGATGCACAATCCAAACACACCTACTCTCATTTACCCCTGTTACACAGCCTCCATCCCTCTGAACACTAGTGGGACTCAAAGAAACATTGTCTTAATGTAGGAAAGGCCCAAGACTGTATTATTATCCAGTCTCAGTTTACACAGTGGAAGTCTTCACCAGGGAGAGGAAGGAAATATTAAGACAGCAGTTTCATCTCTGCTGTCTGTCTGTGTATCTATTCATTAGTATCCTATAATATTGGCCACATCTACAGCACCTAAGTGGCTGCAAGTACAAAGACAGATGTTGGTTCCCAGTGGCACGTGATTATGCCTTCCCTATTCCTTGGTTCATTCCTATTGACAGGGGAAGAGTAGGAACTCTGGACACAGTTGTTTCAATTGCATTATGCAGTAGTTTCCACTGGCTTGTTCTTCTGCCTGTGGTCAATGTAACATCCGTGAGGAGCTGCACAACAAAAGGGACAGATTTGGGACAGCTGGGAACACTTGCCTGACAGTTAAAAAGTAATCTCAGAAAGGATCCTTCCAGGGAAAAAATTACGTTCTCTGGTGCCCATTCCTGAGCCCAGCTGCTGCAATCCGAGCCCACTGGTGTATTTGCAAGGCATGGGCTTCATTCCCCAGATCACAGAAAGAAACAGACAAACATCTTTAGCGGCACAAGTGTGTGACACCATGGTCTGTGAGATGGTATGTGTATCAAAGTGGGTAACACATGTCAGCATGTTATTTGAGTACCCAAGGGCACAGCGGATCCTAAGGAGATTCCAAGTCTGAATATTCTTTTTGCACTCAGAGGCAGGTGTCTGTGATTGATGGGGTGTTATGG